ACAACAGTAAAGCCACATTGTCTTGGTCTATACTTAATTTAAATTTCTAACGACATTCAACGCAGCAGCAGTTCCCAAGAAAGCCTGCAAGCAACGCAGAGCTCACCGGTATCTGAAACGGAGCTTCTGCACAATAGCCTTCATCTTGTCCACCTGCTCCGGGTTGGCCAGGACTCTGTCGGTGAAGGGCACCTTCCGCTTGTCATCAGCGTAGGGCAGGAAGACAAGCTGGAAGCCTGAAGAAAGCAGAGATGCTCTGAGCTCCCACTTAGCGGTGCTGTCGTCGCTTGTCTCCCAGCTCCAGATCCATCCGCGTCCTGTGCTGCGGGGGCTGGGACTAGCAGCACCACTTCTGTTAGCATCTGCCTGACGGACTCCCTCCAGAGCCTCTGGAGAGGACGGGATCACCCTTCCTGCCCACTCGCTGTTCTTGTCAGTGGTGCCCAGCAAGGGTCTTCCGCCGGCGGCAGCTGGTTCCATCTCCAGCTTTTGGGATCCCTCCAGTGCCAGGGCACAGGGCCTCCTCCCTGGAAAGCTAAGGCTCAGCTACGAGGCTCCCCGCTGTACTCAACCTTTCCCCCTTTTTCCTCTACCATATGCTAAAAAGAAAAAGATTAGGAGTTACCAGGCTGATCTGGGTCCGGTGACTGGCTAGTTCTAGAAGAACTGAAAAATGTAGCCGCCATAACCAACTGCTGCTGCCAGGAGAAAGGCCCGTGCCGGCAATGCTGACCGCACTGAGCATAACAGCAGAGAGAAAGCCTCTCAGCTCTCCTCTGCCCTCTGTTCTCCGTACCACCAGCTCTGGAAAAGCCCGGGAGCCAGCAGAGTTCGGACAGTCTCAGCCGGAGCAGCAGGGAGCATGGAAGGGTGAATCTGGAGCTGAGAGACCACAGCTTAATAACTGAGCACTGTGGTAAGTGGATTAAAAACAGAATATGCCCAAAGAGTTACTTCATAAAGTTAACATTTATTAGCATGTCTAGAGAAGGAGAAAGACTACCTACCACCTGCCAACTACTTTGTTCTAAGCACTTGTACATTTACTCACGCATCTCAAGTGTAGAACAACCTTGAGGGAAAGGTGTTCTAGAATTCCCATCTTTGTGGATAAGGAATATAAACAGAAAGGTTAAATTATTTGCCCAAGTTGACCAGCTAACAAAGGGCAGAGACGGGTCTGAATCCAAAGGAATCAAAAATCAAGTTTGCCTTCAAAATCCAGTGCACTATACCCCACTGCCTTGGCATAAACAAGTGGGAAACCAAACAGTAATCATTACAAGGGTGCCCAACAATGTTCTAGGAAGGAAAGGTACCAGCAGCAGAGGCCCCATTAACTTGCGTCAGTATCCTGCAAACCTTCAAAGTGTCCCTCTGCAGACCCGCCTTGTAGAGCTGAATGACCATGTGTGGTGGCCTTACCCAACTGTGCAACAAATTCACCTAAGAAACCTTAAAACCACACATTTCCAGGGCTCATTCCTGGAGACTACAGTTCAGTGGTCAGAGCCGAGAACCCAAAGGATGGGCAAGGTTCGGAAGCCCTAGACTCTCTGCCACATACCTGGAGGAGTCAACTGGATCTTCTGGTCATCCACCTCCTCTTCTTGTGGCACCAGAGCCACAAAGTACGGGGGGACGTTCTTGCGAGGAGTGTATCTGCACACCGCCAGGACCTCCTTCTCCAGGCACTTGGTGAGCAGAGCGCTGAACAGCGTCGAGCTGCCTAGAAAACAAACATCCTGTAGCCTACGAGCCAGAGCTCTCCTCCCTGCCTCCCTTCTTGGCCCATGCTCTAACCCTACAGTCTCATTTTCTTCTTTATGATACCTCAACAGGTAAGGGACTCAGCACTGAGGGAAAGTGGGGGCAACAGGCTCAGACAGCAGGGAGAGGAAAGGAATGCAAGGTCTGGAAGCCTCAGCTACCCCTACTTGAGGAGGGGGAATTATTAATGCCAGTCACTCTTGCTGATCTCAGGCTAAGGACGAGCCCAGGCACCAGTGGAAACAAATCAGACCTGGGGTTCATGAGCTATGGTTTGGACTAAACAAATAAGCACAATGGCAGTGCACACATCATCTTTAATTGCCAACACTAGCAAAAAGAGCTGTGAGGTCTTTTGTTTGTTTTTTGCTATCTGATGCCTCAAAGACAGAATTCCCTAGGAAATACATTAAGAAATGCTAACTCCAAATTCCCTCCTGGATACTTACAGTGTACCTCAGTATATCAAAGGTACTGAAGAACTCTCTTTGTCTAGTCTCAAATTTCCAAAACTCGAACATGAAATACTTTCAAAATGCTCCGTTAAAATCCACACAGTGCCCAAGCAGCACACTTTGAGAAAACACTGCTCAATAAACTGCATCCTGGGCCGGCGCCGCGGCTCACTAGGCTAATCCTCCTCCTTGCGGCGCCGGCACACCGGGTTCTAGTCCCGGTCGGGGCGCCGGATTCTGTCCCGGTTGCCCCTCTTCCAGGCCAGCTCTCTGCTATGGCCCGGGTGTGCAGTGGAGGATGGCCAAAGTGCTTGGGCCCTGCACCCCATGGGAGACCAGGAGAAGCACCTGGCTCCTGGCTTCGGATCAGCGTGGTGCGCCGGCCGCAGTGCGCCGGCTGTGGCAGCCATTGGAGGGTGAACCAACGGCAAAGGAAGACCTTTCTCTCTAACTCTCTCTCTCACTGTCCACTCTGCCTCTCCAAAAAATAAATAAATAAATAAATAAAAATAAATAAATAAACTGCATCCTGTGTCAGTCACCCACTTACCATTCACCATGGACTCCTCAGGGTACACAAACAGGGAGGGCCTCAAGAAATGGTGCTTCTTCAGCAGTACCAAGGGCTTGAACCCAATGAGAATCAAACCTGGTTCATCAAACCGCTTCAGCTCTTCTGTTTCCTCTTTCTCCAGGACGATCTGACGACTCCCATAGATCTAAGGGGGGGAGGGGTGGGGGGGACAGTGAGGGCTACATAGACGCGAAACAGTAACAAGTAAAATCAGAAGATGGCACACCAGGGGCACCCTCCTCCTCCAACAGGGAATTAACATCCACTAAGTAACGGCCAGGTACTTTACACTTGTCATCTAACCTATCTTCTGGAACATTCTAGGAAGTAGACATTAAAATCTGTTTTGTGTGTGCGGATGGTTTTTTGTTTTTTTGAGTTTTTTTTTTTAATTTATTTATTTATTTGAAAGTCAGAATTACAGAGAGAGAGAAAGAGACAGAGGGAGAGAGAGAGGCCTTCCCAGATAGCCGGACTGGGCCAGGAGCTTCTTTCGGGTCTCCCACATTGGGGGCAAGGGCCCAAGCACTTAGGCCATCTTCTACTGCCTTCCTAGATCATTAGCAGGGAGCTGGATCAGAAGTGGAGCAGCTGGAACTCTTCATTGCAGACAGCAACTCTACCTGCTACATCACAACACCAGCCCCTAAAATCCATTTTTAACAACTGCTTACATCTGTTAAAATCTGTTTTTAACATTTTAACAGAGGAATGAACTGAGGCTCCATTCTTGGGTACCTTGCTCCTGACTGGGCTTTAAACCCATGCTTGTCTGGTGCCCGGTCTCATGCTCTTCAGGCACTTATTCCCTCTTCCCCCGTTTACCACGTCCTGACTCCCAGAGTCATCCCTGATACCCACAGGACACTCAAACCACATCCAGTGACTGAGTGCGAGAAACTCTGGCAAGTGCTGTGCTAGGTCTGTTAGTGTAGGGGCAGACACAAATACACATCTAAGTATCACTTCCAAACATTAATGTTTGCATTTTGATCCCAGATATGTGACTAATGACAGAAGTTAGTTGGGGGGTATTTGGTACAGTCATTTTTTTTTTTTTTTTACAGGCAGAGTGGACAGTGAGAGAGAGACAGAGAGAAAGGTCTTCCTTTTGCCGTTGGTTCACCCTCCAATGGCCGCCACGGCCGGCACGCTGCGGCCGGCGCACCGTGCTGATCCGAAGCCAGGAGCCAGGTGCTTCTCCTGGTCTCCTATGGGGTACAGGGCCCAAGCACTTGGGCCATCCTCCACTGCACTCCCGGGCCACACAGAGAGCTGGCCTGAAAGAGGGGCAACCGGGACAGAATCTGGCGCCCCGACCGGGACTAGAACCTGACGTGCCGGCACCTCAAGGCGGAGGATTAGCCTATTGAGCCGCGGTGCCGGCTGGTACAGTCATTAAGATGCTACTTTGGAGACCCACACCCCACACTGGAGTGCCTGGGTTCCAGTCCTGGCCCTGCTCCCAGTTCTAGCTTTCTGGTAACGTACACTCTGAGAGGCAGCAGATGATGGCTCAAGTGCAGTCCCTGCCACCCACATGAAGACCTGGAAGTTCCTGGCTCCCGACTTCATCCTGGCCTAGTCTGGAATTGTAGACATTTGGGGAACGAACCAGCAGATGGAAAATTTCACTCTTTCTCTCTGTCCTTCAAATAACATTAAAAATTTAAAAATATTAACAATTTAATAGCAGAGTCAAACTGGATATATGAACTAGAAAAAAAGAAGCCCTCCACATTTTTACAGGCACACTGAATCAAAAACCAGTTATGAAAAACCAGTTACTTCCAAAATGGAAGAGGAAATTTCATAATCATCTTCTCCTTCAAAAAGTAGGGTAAGGGGGGGCCTGCACTGTGGCGCAGCAGGTTAAGCCTCTGCCTGAGGCACTGGCATCCCATATGGGCACAGGTTCAAGTCCCAGTTGTTCCACTTCCAATCCAGCTTCCCTGCTAATGGCCTAGGAAAATCGCTGAAGATGGCCCAAATGCTTGGGCCCCTGTACCCATGTGAGACGCAGAAGGAGCTCCTGGCTCTGGCTTCAGATTGGCCCAGCTCTGGCCATTGCAGCCATCTGGGTTTAAACCAGCCCATGGAAGACCTCTCTGTCTCTAACTCTTCCTCTCAAACAAATAAATCTTTTTTAAAAAAATAAGTAGGATAAGGGTGGGCGTTTGGCTCAGTGGTTAAGACTCTACTTGGGGGCCGGCGCCGCGGCTCACTAGGCTAATCCTCCGCCTAGCGGCGCCGGCACACCGGGTTCTAGTCCCGGTCGGGGCGCCGGATTCTGTCCCGGTTGCCCCTCTTCCAGGCCAGCCCTCTGCTGTGGCCAGGGAGTGCAGTGGAGGATGGCCCAGGTGCTTGGGCCCTGCACCCCATGGGAGACCAGGATAAGTACCTGGCTCCTGGCTCCTGCCACCGGATCAGCGCGATGCGCCGGCCACAGCGCGCCGGCCGCGGCAGCCATTGGAGGGTGAACCAACGGCAAAGGAAGACCTTTCTCTCTGTCTCTCTCTCTCACTGTCCACTCTGCCTGTCAAAAAAAAAAAAAAAAAAAAAAAAAAAAAAGACTCTACTTGGGGTGCCTGCATACTAGCTAGGATGCAATGTCAGCTGTTTGCAATCCAGCTTCCTGCTAACAGACACCCTGCAAGCAGCAGGTGACAGCTCAAGTACGTGGGTCCTTGCCACTCATGTGGGAGCCTGGAAATGAGTTCCAGGCTCCTTGCTTTGGCCTGACTCAGCCCTGGCTGTTGAATGCACTTGGAGAATGAAACAACAAATGGAAGATCTCTGTTTCTGTTTCTCTGCCTTTCAAATAAAATAAAAACAAATAAATAATTTTAAAAGTAGGGCAAGGGGATAAGCCAGTGCCGCAGCTCACTAGGCTAATCCTCCACCTTGCGGCGCCGGCACACTGGGTTCCAGTCCCGGTTGCTCCTCTTCCAGGCCAGCTCTCTGCTATGGCCAGGGAATGCAGTGGAGGATGGCCCAAGTGCTTGGGCCCTGCACCCCATGGGAGACCAGGATAAGTACCTGGCTCCTGCCTTCGGATCAGCGTGGTGCACCGGCCGCAGCATGCCGGCCACGGCAGCCATTGGAGGGTGAACCAACAGCAAAAGGAAGACCTGTCTCTCTGTCTCTCTCTCACTGTCCACTCTGCCTGTCAAAAAAAAAAAAAAAAAAAAGTAGGGCAAGGGGCCAGCATTGTGGTTTAATGGGTAAAGTCACCACCTGTGGCACTGGCATCCCATATGGGTGGGGCTGGACCAGGCTGAAACCAGGAGCCTGGAATGCCATCCGGGTTTCCTACATGGGTACAAGGGCCCAAGCACTTGGGCCATATTCCTCTGCTTTCCCAAGAGCATTAGCAAGGAGCTGGATTGGAAGTGGAGCAGCCAGGACTTGAACCAGTGCCCACATGGGATGCTGGCATTGCAGGTGGCGGGCTTTACCCACTGCCCCACAACGCTGGCCCCTACACATAACACTTTCTGTAGCTCCTCATCTTCTTAGTTAACTATAAAGCATTTTCTGCCATTGAACCTGAGCAAGAAACTAGACTGCTAGACCAGGGCAGTGTGCACTGAGGGATCATAGACTGAAGCTTCATCAATACCTCTTGCAAACACTAGTCCTGTTTAACCTGGCTCACAAGACAGCTCTGATCCACATGCCATGGTTCCAAAGAGTAATGACTCTGATTTAACAGTGTGGCCAGAGTCACAGAAGTTATTTAACTGATGAACTCATCAATGTCTCGTCACCATGTTAACTCTTCAATTGACTAAGAGAGTCTAGTTACCTACCTGAGACCTCTTGGTGTCACTGGGCAGAAGCAAGCTGCCTGTGTTGACATTAAATGTCCGGGTCTTGGTTTTCACTGGTTCATTTGTCTCCCGATACAGCCTCACTGGCATAGGCTTGGTGGCCTTCTGGACCATATTATAAATGCCCACAGAAAATACTACATCTTTGTTGAGCTTAAACTTCAGCCTGAGGGACAGAAAAACAAGCATGGACTAAAAGACTGTACTTTAGTATCTAAAACTGATTTATCTTGTTTTATTCTCTCCAATAGTACTAAGCTCTTAGAAAATAAATAATAACTAACATTTACTGTGTTTCTGCTGCATAGCAGGCTCTGATTTTTTGTTTGTTTACTTTTGTGCTATTTTTCTCTCTAAAATATCTCTTTACTTTTAAAAGCCACACACTTGGGTTTCTCCAATGGAGGAAAAACATCTCTCCATGCCTTCAATCTAACCATGTGACTGCAATCAAGAGACTTGACACCATATATTCCAATTCCTTTAATCAGTTCAAGGGCTCGCCACTCCTTGGGCTGCAATTCTGGTAACTGCACTTTAGACATTTCTCATGGCTACTTTATTTAAGTAAATATGCTTTTTAAAAAAGAGCTTATTGATTTTCCTTTTATTTGAAAGTCAGAGAGACAGAGAAAGGTCTTTCATCTGCAGGTTCAACCCCCCGAATGCCTACAATGTGAAGCCAGGAGCCCAGAACTCAATCCGGGTCTCCCACATTCGAGGCAGACACCCAAGTACTTAAATCACCCTCTGCCGCTTCCCGGACTGTGCTTCAGCAGGACCTGGAACCAGAAGTGGAGCTGAGCCTCCGACCAGGCACTCAACATGGGATGCAAGCAGCCCACGTGGTGAGTTAATTGCTTTATTGAACACCCACCTCTTCATGACTACTTTAAATCTATTACCAACTTTGATGTAAATTTCCATTATTGGTTTCATTAGCGAATCAATTAAACATACGTGAAGGAGCAAGCATTGTGGCACAGGGGTTAAGCTGCCACTTGGGATGCCCACATCTCACACTGGAGTGCCTGGCTCACAAGTCCCAGCTACTCTGCTCTTACTCCAGCTCCCTAGATACAAGCAGAGGCAGCAGATGATGGCAAGTACCCGGGCCCCCGCCACCCATGTGGGAAACTCAGATGGAGTTCCTGGATCGTGACCTCAGCCGGGCCAGCTCCAGCTGTTGTGCACATCTGGGGAGCAAACCAGAGGATGGAAGTTCTTTCTCCATCTCTCCTCTGTGTCACTGTGCCTTTCAAATAAATAGGTAAACTGTAAGAAATAATAAATATCCCTGGCAATGAATATGAAGAAGTTATTGCCTCTTTATTAATGACCTGCCAGGCTCCATTTTATGGGTGCTTTTTATTTACTCCTCACAATAACTAACTGACAGGTACTACTGTCACCCCAATTCACAGAAGAGAAAGCAAATACTGCACTAGTGAGCACAGCTAAGGCTATTCTTAGACCACAAGGAAATGGAGGGCTGTATAATTTTAGAGAAATACTGTATTAGCTCCTACCAAAGAAAAGCAAACACCATAAGCTATCCTTAAACAAACCAAGTGTTTTGGAGGAACACAGTAAGGCAGGAGCATGGTTCCAAGTTCAGTAGCCAAGGAGGTCAAAGGACTGCTCTGCTTATAATTCGTTTGCCGGCTCAGGCTTGGTGCGCACCTGCTGAGCACTCGCTTTCTAGTCTCCTTGGCACGGACCTTCCTCAGCAAGTCTTCTAGCTTGCTGGATTCCTCAAAGTAAACCCCGAGCTCCTCATCCTCTGCAATGCTGATGATATCTCTGTAGAATAAAGATATGTCAAAGCCCCCTCGTTTCTTCAGGTGCATCAAGTCAAGGTAGATACCTGGTACAAGGAGAGACGAAAGTGAGGAGAGAGAGGATAACTTTTAGCAAATGACAATTTTTTTCAGTTAAATTCAACTATGCTTCTAAGAGCTCCTCCCAAAACTATAATGATTACTAATATTTTCAGAGCTTAGAGAAAATGGATCAGGAAACCATCAAGACAACTTGATGGAAACAACTGCCACTCATGGTCGCGTGAAGGGGAAGATAAGCTTGCTTGGTAGTCCCGTAGATGGCTGGTGACATGGCCATTTTCAGTGTCACTGTTACACCCGTTTCTTCCTGATTTCATTTTATTCTTTCCTCTTACACTGAGTAGTGAAAAGCAAATGCTTGATACTAACTAAAAAGAAAGCAAAGAAAAGCTAAATGCCAATTTAAAAGAACAGGGAAATGGCCCAGCCCTGGCTATTACAGGCATTTGGGCAGTGAACCAGTGAAGGGAATATCGATCTCTCTCTCTCTGCCTTTCAAATAAATCCAAATAAACAAATGAACTTCCAACAAGGACAGAAGGCCAGGGAAAATGTCCACCTGTGTCCCGGAGATCACTGGCTTTGGTCCTGGCCCGGCTGGCTTTGGCGCTGTCATCGCCGTGGGGGTCGTCTTCATTGGTGAACAGCATGATCCTCTTGTGGCTCATCTTGAACTGCACATCGCTGAAGAGGTTGGCACAGACCCACAGCACTTCACTTAATGAGTAGTCAGACCCATGGCCAATGAGGTCTTGAAAATGTTCTTTTCCCTCCTGCCCCTTAAACCGGTCAAGCTCCAGCATGCGCTTAGCACCTAGTCAGAGGCAGGGAGTCAAAGGGCAGAAAAACCAGAAGACTGCAGTGGTTACCCTCACCACAGGCTAGAGGGGTCAGGGTCCCCTTCTCCCCCCAGAGCTGTTTAACGCTTGAAGTGCAGCTCTGCATCCAGCAGGACCCCCTTGCATGAAAGCCTGTTCTCAGACAAGAGGGAACCTTCACAGCCCACACACGGCAGTGACATTCCTAGGCAATGGAAAAGATGAGCTTAGAATGTCACTGACCTGGGTTATCCAAGTCTTGTAAGACATAAATATTTTTGAAATTCACTGAATTTTTATCTTTCTTGGTACCATAGAACACCACTGCCAAGAGGTCACGATCACTGCTTATTATCTTACTGGTGTAAACACTCTGGATACACTGAAAAAGAAGAACTCAATTAATATCACTTCCCGCCTAGCTTAAACCCCACAAGTGCCTGGCACAGAGCAGGTACTCAATGCGCACCTGCAGAATTTATACATGTACTAGGATAACACATGATCCTACTCAGGAAACTCCTAAGTAGTGAGAATTAGGACATGTAGGTCAAGTCAGAAGAAAAAGTAGACTGAAGTATATTTACTTATTTTTAAGATTTATTTATTTGAAAGTCAGAGTTAGAGAGAGAGAAGGAGAGGCAGAGAGAGAGGTCTTCCACCCACTGGTTCACTCCCCAACTGGCTGCAATGGCCGGAGCTGTGCCAATCTGAAGTCAGGAGCCAGGAGCTTCTTCCAGGTCTCCCACGCGGGTGCAGGGGCCCAAGGACTTGGGATATCTTCCACTGCTTTCCCAGAACATAGCAGAGAGCTGGATCGGAAGTTTGAGCTGGGACTCAAACCGGTGCCCATATGGGAAGCTGG